GCAGTACTGTTGGTGTGTAGTGAGTGGAGATCAAGGATGCTGAATTCTGCAATGCACAGATCAGCATCTCCCTACAACACAGAACCTTCCAGCCCAAAATATGAGTACTGCCAAGTTTGAGAAACACCGAGTTAACTCTGAGAGGCTTTGTGTACTGACCCCTGGCTTATTCTCTGTAGGTGGAGCAGCTACGCCAGGCTATTGAGGAATTGTATTACTTTGAATTTGTGGTAGATGACTTGCCAATCCGTGGTTTTGTGGGCTACATGGAAGAGAGTGGCTTCCTGCCACATAGCCACAAGATAGGCCTCTGGACACATTTGGACTTCCACCTAGAATTCCACGGAGATCGAATCATATTTGCCAATGTTTCAGTTCGGGACGTCAAGCCCCACAGCTTGGACGGGTTACGAGCCGATGAACTCCTAGGCCTTACTCACACTTACAGCGTGCGCTGGTCTGAGACTTCAGTGGAGCGGCGGAGTGACAGGCGCCGTGGGGACGACGGTGGCTTCTTTCCTCGAACCCTGGAAATCCACTGGCTCTCCATCATCAACTCCATGGTGCTTGTGTTCTTGCTGGTGGGCTTTGTGGCTGTTATTCTCATGCGTGTGCTTCGAAATGACCTGGCTCGGTACAACCTAGATGAGGAGACCAGCTCGGGAGGCTCCAGCGACGACTTTGACCAGGGCGACAATGGCTGGAAGATTATCCATACAGACGTCTTCCGCTTCCCTCCGTACCGTGGTCTGCTCTGTGCTGTGCTTGGTGTGGGCGCCCAGTTCCTGGCCCTTGGCACTGGTGAGGAGATAGGATTTGCTCTCGGAGGGTAGTAGACAGGTTATTGTAAAGGTTCAGGGGACCTCCTCTTCTCTTCAGGGTGAGAGAAAAACGTAAGGAATCGGTAGCTCTAGTGAGGTCGTGTGTGGGTTCTCCTGACCACAGAACCAGGGAAATGTTATCGCATGAGACCCTTGATCTGGGCTAGGGGGGATGATTTCTCTGACGCCGAGAAGAGGTGTAGGTGAGACCTAACGGATTTCCCACTACTACCCTGTAGGCATTATTGTCATGGCGCTGCTGGGCATGTTCAATGTGCACCGTCATGGAGCCATTAACTCGGCAGCCATCTTGTTGTATGCTCTGACCTGCTGCATCTCTGGCTATGTGTCCAGCCACTTCTACCGGCAGATTGGAGGCGAGCGTTGGGTGTGGAACATCATTCTCACCACCAGCCTCTTCTCTGGTGAGAACGTCCCCTTTTGTGGTGGGTCTGCCCAGATTTAGGGACTAAGAGCACATCATGGGTCCTGGGATAGAGTCACAATGCGGGGAAGAGAGGGAGGACTTTTAAAGATATTTCTGTTTATGTGTATGTTTTGCCTGCATGTATGCATGTACAGCACATGCACACGGTGCCTATGGAGGCCGTAAGAAGATACCTGATCCACTGGAACTGGAGTTGCAGATGGTTGTGAGCTACAGTGTGGGTGCTGGGAACTGAACCCAAGTCCTCTGTAAGAACAGCAAGTGCTATTAACCACCGAGCCTTCTCTCCAGTCCCTGCACCGGGTGGGTGTTTCGTAAGAAAAATCCATCAAAAATAATCTCTATTTCTTGCCGGGTGTGGTGGCGCACACCTTTAATCCCAGCACTCAGGAGGCAGAGGCAGGCGGATCTCTGTGAGTTCAAGGCCAGCCTGGTTCCAGAACAGTCAGGACTGAATAGACTCTTATCTAAAACAGTCAACAACAACACCACAACACAAAACAAAAAACAGCATGACCACTATGCCTAGCTTTTTCCATGTGGGACCTGGGGATTCATGCAAAGCACTTCTCCCATTGAGCCTTCCGTTCTGCAGACACCGTGCTTGAAGAATGTGGTGTGCGCGCACTTGTGTGGGTGCTGTGAACTGTGCGCATGGGGAAGGGAAGGCAGCGGTCAATGTCAGGTGTCTTCCTCAGGAGCTCACCTTGTTTTTGGCCAGGGTCTGTCACTGAAGCTGGAGCTCACTGAATTAGCTAGAGTGGAAGGCCGTGGAGTCCTAGGGATCCTCCTGTTTTGCCTTCCTTGACTGGGATCATAAGCTCTAGCCACATCTGACTTGTTTTTGTTTTTGTCTTAAATGTGGACGCTGGGGATCCATCTTGGTTCCTCATGCTTTTGGGGAAAGGGCTTTACCAACTGAACCATTTCCTCAACCCCTTTGAGAGCATCCTTGAATTTATTTTTTGATACTCTTTTTATTTTGGAGGTAGGTTCATTCTAGCCTTCAAACCAGATTGCTTCCCCCGCCTCCCCCATTGAGATGGGGTTTCTCGGTATAATGGCCCTGACTGTCCTGGAACTCACTTTGTAGACCATGCTGACCTCTGCCTTTAGAGTGCTGGGATTAAAGGCGTGTGCCATTGCCTTTTCAAAGACAGTAGCAGTCTACATTCTGAACCTTGTTATTTCCAGTGTGGTGTATTTGATTTATACCCCACCACATTTATATCTGAAGCATGGCTTTCGGAGAACAGATCCTTAACCTAAATGACTGTTTCATGCTAGAAATGATCAAGGGCCATGGCAAGACAGGTTCCTGTACGCAGGTCGATTTTCATCACTCTCGGACCACAATGAGGCAACTGTCTTGATTCTTGACGGCACTGGGTGTGGGGAAGGAGGTGTTCAGAGAAATAAAGAACAGAGGACAATAAGCTATAAAAGGGTCAAGGTGTGAATTGAGTCAACTCTGGACATCCGGGAGCATAGTTGGGCCCTGTAAGTGGCAGGCTACTCCACCCCTTTCCCCTTAGGTCCAGTCAGAGTGGGGTGTCACGGGGATGTTGCTCCTACTGCTGACCCTCCCTCCTGCAGTACCCTTCTTCCTGACGTGGAGTGTGGTGAACTCCGTGCACTGGGTCAACGGCTCCACCCAGGCTCTGCCGGCCACCACCATCCTGCTGCTCCTGACGGTCTGGCTGCTGGTGGGCTTCCCTCTCACTGTCATTGGCGGCATCTTCGGGAAGAACAACGCCAGTGCCTTTGATGCACCTTGTCGCACCAAGAATATTGCCCGGGAGATCCCACCCCAGCCCTGGTACAAGTCTACTATCATCCACATGACCGTGGGTGGCTTCTTGCCTTTCAGGTATCCTCACTTTGTACCATGGCCGTCACTCCTGGGGGTTTTAGTTTGGTTTGGTTTTGGACATTAGAGGGGTTTGTTTTTGTTTGTTTGTTTTTTTGAGACAGTCTTATGAGGCTGGCTTGAAACGTACAGTTCTCCTGCCTTGGGTGCTTGGATTATAGAAGTGTTACCATGCCACTGTGGGTTTTTGATTCAGCGTTCCCCTCCATGACGTCCTCAAAACCATAACCCAGTAACAGTCCCCAGTCCAGGGAGCTCATTCCATTGGCCTCCTGTTGCTGAACAGGAGGGCTTCAGCAGGTCAGAGGTGAGGGTTTCTCTTGTGAAGCTCTCCTACTCAGCGAACAGAAAGTAATAAAATGGGCTTTACGCCCTGTGTCAGAGCCTGTGGGACCTGGTTTCTCTTTAGTGTTTACAGAGCTAAGGCCTATTTGTTTACTGGTCAGTTTGCTACACACATTTTCAACAACACAGCAGAGAAAAGAGAGAGTACGGTATCTGCTTTTGTTCCTTTCTCTTGGGGCTTCATGCTCTATTTATCAAGCACTCCACCGAATGATATCCCAGCCCCCCCTTTAAAGATTGGATTTATTTATTTTAAGATTTATTTATTTATTTAATGTACATTAGGGTTTTGCCTGCATATATGTCTGTATGAGAACGTCAGATCCCCTGGAACTGGAGTTAAAGACAGTTGTGAACTGCCATGTGGGTGCTGGGTGTTGAACCCGGGTCCTCTGGAAGAGCAGCCAGTGCTCTTAACCACTGAGCCATCTCTCCAGCCCCGCCCAGCCTGTCTAAGTTTTCCAGGCTGGCCTTGAACTTGGCAATCCTCCTGCCTCAGCCTCCCAAATAGTAGTAGCGTAGTCATATGCCTGTCAGGGAAGATGTTCGTGAAATAAGAGCAACTAGTCAGGCAAAAGAACCCCCAGGCGGCTTCCTTTCCCTCTGCAACTGCACTAGGGAGGGTGTGGGTGAGTTCAGCAAGCGCTCCAGCGCTTTATCGCCCTGTCCTGTCTCTCCCGTCCACAGTGCCATCTCTGTGGAGCTGTACTACATCTTTGCCACGGTCTGGGGCCGAGAGCAGTACACTCTGTACGGCATCCTCTTCTTCGTCTTCGCCATCCTGCTGAGCGTGGGGGCTTGCATCTCCATCGCACTCACCTACTTCCAGCTGTCGGGGGAAGATTACCGCTGGTGGTGGCGGTCAGTGCTGAGCGTCGGCTCCACCGGGCTCTTCATCTTCCTCTACTCCGTCTTCTACTACGCCAGGCGCTCCAACATGTCAGGGGCAGTGCAAACAGTCGAGTTCTTTGGCTACTCTCTATTGACTGGTTACGTCTTCTTCCTCATGCTGGGCACCATCTCCTTTTTCTCTTCCTTAAAGTTCATCCGTTATATCTATGTTAACCTCAAGATGGACTGAGTTCTGAGGGACGGAACCGTTGCGCCCTGCTTTCATCATGCCCCACTGATTCCACTCGATAGCTTCCGACTGAATTGTGTGATGGCCTTCTTGTCGTCTTCCTAACCCCTTTGCTCCCTAGGACCTCCCTTCTTTAGAGAGGACCTGGAAATTAAAAAAATCTCTATGATATAAGAAATATATATTTGGACTTTTTAAGTTGCCTTACGTTTTGGTCCTGATTTTTTTTTTTCCTTTTTACAAATGAAAATAAAATTTATTAAGAAAACGGATCCTGTGGTTGGAGGTTTTGGTCTAGTTACAGAATGCCCCCCCGGGGCTTGTTGTCAATGCCCAGGTCCTTTGAAAACCGAGTCCGCCACTGCCGCCCAAACTCTGGACCCTTGGGAACTGTCGGCGCCGGGAACCCACGTCCCCGGGGCTCAGTTTCTGTGCCTTAGCCGGTGCTCAGCCTGATGGAAGCCCGGACTGACGCCAGCCTCCAGCAGGAATTTTTTTAAGGGAAGCAAGCTGAATGACCCAGGCGACAGGAGGGCCGCAGGATAACGCCCTTTCCGCCGGAAGTCGGTGTCCGAGTCTCCACGTGCCGTTCCTCCCCCCTCCCCACCCGGGCCTGTAGCGGCGGCTCAGCTGCTGCCATGGAGCCTGCGGATCTGGAACAGATCCTAAAGGAGCTGCTGCTGCCGGACACCGAGCGCATCCGCCGGGTACGGGCAAGCCGGGCCGGGCTGGGCCGTGGGGGAGAGGGGGGCTGGGGGGAAAGCCCGGTCCTGACCCCCCAGCCTCCCCCGCAGGCCACGGAGCAGCTCCAGACCGCCCTTCGGGACCCCGCTGCCTTACCCGCTCTCTGCGACCTGTTGACTTCGGCCACCGACCCTCAGGCGAGTTAACCTGCCCCTCCTCGCCCGAAATCCTGAGATTCCTCCGTGTGCCCCCCTCTCCGGTTCCGCCCCAGCCCCCGCCCCCTGCGGTCTGCTCATCTTCCTGCCGTCTGCCATTCTGACCTGGCTTACCTCTCTCTCCTCGCCCCAGATCCGCCAGTTTGCAGCCGTCCTGACCCGCAGGAGACTGAACACCCGCTGGCGACGCTTGGCACCTGAGCAGCGGGAGAGGTGGGCTAGGTCTGGGGTGGGAGGGGCCAGGCCCAGTCGGTTCTTTGACAGGCCCGGGACCAAGCGTTTGCCGCCTGTCTTCCAGCATCAAGACCCTGGTCCTGACAGCCCTGCAGAGGGAGACTGAGTAAGTGCTTAGCGCCCTCTCTTGCGGTGTGTGTGTGTGTGTGTGTGGGTGTGTGGGTGGGTGGGGGGGATGCGGTGTGTGTGTGTGTGTGTCCTAACTGATTTGGGGCTGAGGTCTTCTCAGGGCCGGCGGCCTTCTTTTTTAACCCCAGCCTGGGACTTAGCAGAGATTTCATTCAGTCCTAGAAGGTGGAGCCTGTGAAAACCAAAGTTTTTGAGAATGGGTGAAAATGCTCTGCAAAAACCCAGAACCGGAAAATGAGACTGAAATCCAGCCTGTCCAGAGGGGCTGCACAGATCACAATGCCCCCCTCCTTTAAGCTGTTGGCTTCTGGGGTCTGTCTTAGGAGAGACTCTGTGCTCGAAGGAGGATGCTTCTCTCCCGGGCACTCCTTGAGCCCGGGGCATTGTCTGCAGGGGAGGGTCATGAGGGTGGCGAAGGAAGGGATTATGGCTCCGTCTCCGCTTTGCAGGCATTATGTGAGTGTCAGCTTGGCCCAGCTCTCAGCCACCATTTTCCGAAAGGAAGGCCTGGAAGCCTGGCCTCAGTTCATGCACCTCCTTCAGCAAAGTACCCACAGTGCCAACAGCCCCGAGAGAGAGGTACCGGCCCACTGTTGGCAGCGGGGGGACTCAGAGGCGGGTCAGCCCGCGGAAGCTTTCTCCTCTCACCCCTTCCTCCCGGACAGGTGGGACTCTTGCTGCTGAGTGTGGTGGTGTCGACCCAACCCGAGGCGTTCTACCCCCACCAGCGGGGGCTTCTGCAGCTTCTGGCCGACACTCTGGGTGAGACAGGCGCCCCCAGAGTCCTCTTCTACTCCCTGCGCACTCTGGCCGCCTTGGCCCCCTACCTCAGGACTGATGATGTGGTAAGACACTGGCCGTCACACCTTAACCTCCGTCTCTGCCAGCTCTTGGTGTCCTTACGTTTCAAAGGTCTGGCCCAAGATGCTTTAGATTTTTCACTCTGCCTTCCATTCTTCCTAACAGTTGAGGGGATACCGAGGGGGGCCGGGCCCGACTGGTGTGTCTGGGATCGTCTTCTTAGACTGCATTGCCATGAGGAAGCCACTAGTGTCGGGGGTCTGGGATTAGGCTGCATGTGCTGTCTGTGATTCAGCTCATCCTGTGTCCTCCAGCCTCTCGCGCGGATGTTGGTGCCCAGACTCGTTACGGCAGTGAGGACTCTGATCCCCATAGATGAGGTGAGGACAGATGGGAGGGATCTCCATTTTGGGAGGAGAATGGAGCCCCGTCCAGTCTGGTACCCTATGGCTTACCTATCTATCAGGTAAAGGCCTGTGAGGCCCTGGAGGCCCTGGATGAACTGCTGGAGTTAGACCTGCCCATCATCACTCCCCACCTCTCTGAGGTCCTCACATTCTGCCTGGAGGTGAGCCTGCCATGGGTGCTGCCCCTGATCCTGGCTTGGCTGGAGTTTTCCTTGCTCGGTCCTGATTTTTGCTAGTGTCTGTATAGGTGGCTAAAAACGTGGCCCTTGGCGATACAATTCGTGTGCGCATCCTCTGCTGCCTCACTTTCTTGGTCAAAGTCAAAAGTAAGGTAAGTGCCCTCTGGGGTATGTTATCCCATCCCAGCATCTCCACTCTTATTCATACTCTTGGGGTCCTGTTCAAGCCCTGGTCCAGCCTTCTCCTGTTCCTGCCCAGGAGATGGGGACTGTCCTGCTGGACTCCTTGTGGTTGGCAGGATGGAGTTTTTTCTCCTGAGCCCATTCTGAGGAGATGCTCAGGGACAGTCTCCTCCCCTCTTAGGCCTTACTGAAGAACCGCCTCCTGCCTCCCTTGCTGCAAGCCCTCTTCCCAATTATGGCTGCGGAGCCACCCCTAGGCCAGTTGGACCCTGAAGACCAAGATTCTGATGATGATGAGTTGGAGATCGGGCTGATGGGGGAGACCCCCAAGCACTTTGCTGTACAGGTATACCTTAGTCTCTTGGCCACTGGGACCGTACCTCAGAGAAAGAACTCAAGGGGAGGGAGGGTTTCCGTTTACCGTGGTGGGAAAGGAATGGCCAGAGCGTGTGGTTCAAGTCCTGGCCACCAGGAAGCGAAGCAGAGCAGTCTACGTTTACCGACGGGAAGCGGAGAAGGGAAATGCAAGAAGGAGCCAGGGCTCGAAAGATCCTGTAAGGACATGACCCCAGCTAAGCCCTACCTCCTACCTTTTGCTCCTCCTGGTGATGGCATTAGCTTGTTTATCCATCAAGTAATTAACTGATCATTAGGTCAAGGCCTTCCTGATCTAATTGGCTCTGAAAACACCATCACACTCTCCTAAGCATGTCTCGGTACAATGAAGCCGGTAATTAAAATAGCCATCTCAGCCAGGTGAGGTGTGGGTGTACCTGCGACCTCGGCTCCCAGCACTTGGGAGGCTGAGGCAGGATCGTGAGCTTCAGGCCAGTCCGAGCCACCCTGTCGCCCACATAGAACCGGTCATCACAGGTTTATGGGACAGGGCTTAAGTGACTAGGGGAGGTTAGAGATGGAGTTAGAATCTCCCTGAACTTTTGCAGGTTGTGGACATGCTGGCGCTCCACCTTCCCCCTGAGAAGCTCTGTCCCCTTGTGGTAAGTGTGACTCTCCTGTTCTCACTATCCCTGGGTAGGTATAGTCCCCTAAAGCCAGGGATAATTGGGTACAGATAGGTGTGATGGGCCCTGTTGGGAAAGTTGTGGGCAGGCTCTAGCAAGAGCCTAGCAAGGCTTTCAGAAACACGCCGTGTCCTCCCTAGATGCCCATGCTGGAAGAAGCCCTACGGAGTGAGTTCCCGTACCAGCGGAAAGCAGGCTTCCTGGTGCTGGCTGTCCTGTCTGATGGTGCTGGTGACCACATCAGGCAAAGGTATTCCATTCAGTTCCTGTCCCCGCATGAGGTGGGTCACATCCTGTGGCAGCCCCAGTACCCCTGTTTCAGCTTAGTTGGTTTGATCTTTTGTTTGTTTATTTGAGACAGGGTCTCACTATATAGCCATGGCTGGCCTGGAACTCAGAGATCCGCCTGCCTCTGCCTCCCACTGCTGGGATTAAAGGCGTGCACCACCACACCCAGCTTAACTGTTAATACTATCAGCTGGTCATGATATTTGCTGCCTTTCAAGAGTGTCCTGGTTTTGGAAGAGAAATGGCTTTCCCATTACAGAGACAAAGGATGGTTTTTACCGTCCGGCTCTGGAGAGTCCTGATCCTGCCCAGGAGGAATGGGGAGGACGGTAGAGACCAGGGTTCCCGTGTCCTGCCCCTCAGGCTTGGCTCTTCTCCTCTGCCCGCTTCAGGCTGCTGTGCCCACTGCTGCAGATCGTGTGCAAGGGCCTGGGCGACCCCTCCCAGGTGGTTCGAAATGCTGCTTTGTTCGCCCTGGGCCAGTTTTCAGAGAACTTACAGGTCAGCGAAGCTAAATGCAGACAGCTGCCACCGCCGCCGCAGGAGGGAAGGCCCCACCCCAAGGCTGGGGACCCTTGTCCCTTAAACTGTCACCTCTTGAAACATTCTTGCCACTGTTGGCACTCAGGGGTGTGTGCTCCGCGGGGGAGCCTGACCGGGTCCCGCTCGTTTCTTCCCCAGCCCCACATCAGCAGCTATTCAGAGGAGGTCATGCCCCTGCTCCTGGCCTACCTGAAGTCAGTGCCTACCGGGAACACCCAGCACCTGGCCAAGGCCTGCTACGCCCTGGAGAACTTCGTGGAAAACCTGGGTAGTGATGGGAGTGGAGAATACAGAGGGGAGAGCAACGCACTGGCTGAAGGGGGCCGCGGGGTGGGGAGGGGCGAGGGGGG